AGAGTGAAGGAAGGGGAAGTAAGCGGCGAGGGTGACGAAGGTGAAGGTGCCGGCAGCCATAGCCGAGGTGAAGGGTTGACTGGGCGTTGACCAGAGCGTTGACCAGAGCGTTGACCAGAGCGTTGACCAGAGGGTTGACCAAGGGCTGACCAGAGGGTTGACCAGGCGTTGACCAAGGGTGTTGACCAAGCGTTGACTGGGGGTTGTCCGCGTTGACCAGGCGTTGACCAAGGCGTTGACCGGAGCTGCTGACCAAGCTGAAGTTGGTGATATCTCGCTGAGCCCTTAGCCTATCCCCTTACCCTGTGGATGCGCACCTACCCCACGGTACTTGTTGAGTCTGTCTGTCTACTCTTTCTGCATTGAGTCTCTCCTGTCCTAGGTGTTAGGACTCTGTGGATGAAGGATAGGGCCTTGCTGCCAAACCTGCACGGGACTTAGTAGGACGGATCTCTACTCTGGTATCTGGAGACCTGGGCATGAGCGGCGAGCGCTCGTTAAACAACTCGTCTAGCCCAATGACCGGTACTGTCCGGCAGGTCTACTCAGTTTAAGTGTAGAGGGTCCGAACTCCGAGCTGTAGGCTGAAACGGAGGCAGTCTTTAAGTGTTGAGGCCTGGTTGAACCACTCCCCTACCGGACCTAGTAAGGCTGATGATCTGTGTCTGACGACTCGACTATCCCGAGGGATACGAACCCTTCCAAGGACCGGTACAGACCGGCGGGCTGCTCGGTGTGGCACATTAGGCCGGAACGGCTGAGTTGTGGGCTGAAATCGCGAGGAAGAACCACGCTGATCACGTCGTCCTGACTGCGACGTTAAAGAATTATTGCGGAGTTTGGGGGATCTCCTTAAATGCCTCATGATCAGCTGTTGGTTCAGTAGTGACAGCCTTAGAGTAGTTTGAGTAGTGGTCTTAGAGAGTCAGTCAGTGGGTCAGTGTCCGGGTAGGTCTAAGTGGTAAGGAGTGGGACTCTTGTCGTGCACCTAATAGCACGATGGATGACTATCCGATGTTTGGGCTGCTTGTGGGGTTCTCCCTCTGGGGGACCCTCTGGCGTCTCCTCTTCCCTCTGGGGTTCTGGAACACTTTCGCGTGTAGGGTAGAGACGAAGGGTGGCACGACCACACACCCCTATACGCCTGAAGAGGAGGCCAAGGCCGCCGCCATTCTGAAAGAGAGAAGGGAGGAGAGGGAGGCCAGGAAGAAGGCCTTAATGGAGGAGCAGGCGGCCAAGATGAAAAAGATTGAGGAGGAGGCAGCCAGGGAGAAAGAGAGATTGAAGAAGGAAGAAGAGCAGAAGTTGAAGGAGGTGGAAGAGGAAGAGGACGAAGATGAAACGCCACTGCAAAGGAAGAGGGGGCAGTACAGTGGCAGCAGAGATGAGGAGATGGAAAAACGGATTTCAGAATGGGTCGCCAACTTATCCCTGGGCGAAGAAGAAGAGGTGGCGATGTACATATCCAAGGATGACCAGGAGGCCGCTAAGAGAGCATGGGAAGCAGAAGGAGATGTCATAAAGCGGCAGGCGATGGAAGATGAGAAGAGGATGGAGTGGAAGCTGGCAGTGATGAGGGAGAAGAAGAGGAGACTGGATGCGGCAGCGGAGGTGGCAGAAGAATTAGAAGAGGTAAAAAGGATAGAAGAGCAATTAGCCGCCCAAACTGAACTCCCAAAGAAAATGGAGGTCATCGCCCGAAATGTCGCACGCTTAGCACGCATTCAGGCAGAGCAATATGACTTCAGTAGGAGTCAGCATATCGCTGTGCGTTCAATACGATTGGGCTTTCGGGACTTTGCTCGTGAGTTGGTAGGTGCTGTAGGAGCCGAGGTGGGCCATCACCTCGACAAGACTGAGCGGTTTTGCGCTGGCGCCATTGAGAGCGTCAAGGCGGCAACTCCCAAGGAGGAGGAACCACGTCCACGTAGAGAGCGAGTCAAGGTCAAATTCCTTGATTCCTACAGTGGGAAAAGGGAAGAAAACTTTGACAACTGGGAGGCCAACGTCAAGACCTATGTGCATCTGCAACAGGTCTCCCCGGATCAGCATGTCTTGATTGCGATCCACGCGCTTAGAGATGAGGCCGCCAGTTTTGCAAGGTCCCTAGTGCGCGCCACTACCTGCAATGATGACGCAGTTGCCTATTCGTCCTTTACCTCCCTCACTAAGTTCATGAAATTGCTGCGCGAGCGATTTGCTGATGTCGCTCGGAGTGTCAAAGCCTCAGACAAGCTCCAGACGATCCATGCTCGTAAGTGGAAGAGTGTCAGGGCACTCAAGAGCACAATGGACGAATTAGTAGTTGTCCCTGACCACGGGGTTACAGACACTCAGTTGGTCGCCCTCTTCTATAGAGCTATGCCCGAAGCTTTTCGCGGGCACTTCTTCGCGAAGAGCGAAGACCCTGCCACCAATTATGATTCCCTTAGTCGTGAAGTGGTGGCCTTTGAGGCAAAGTCTATGTCAGTCTCCAACTTCTGGCACAAAGACCTGGATAAGGGAAAGCAATGGAAGGGTCGCACTATCTCTGGGCAAGTGAAGACTAAGGATAGCCTTGTCCTAACCTTAGATGAGGGTAGTGTGGATGAGATCCCCTACGATCAGATTGAGTGGGGGTTAGAGGAGGAGGACAGCGGTGTGGGCCAGGGGAGAACTTGAACAGGTCTCCCTATAGGGTAGGAGGATGGCACCCACGGCTACCCCAGGGTAGGCCTTGGGAAAGTTTGGGTCTGGACCAGGACTTATGGCAAAAGCGGTTGGACCGGTGTCGGCGCGAATACCCTTACAAGGGTATCCGCCCTGGTTTTTGCAAGTGACACAAAGGCTCGGTTAACCTGGATTTTGAGTGCCCGTGCGGGAAAATGTGAGGGTCGTCCGCGCGCGGGCCAAGGTCTGCCTTGTCCCGGTAGGGAGTAGATGGGCGCACAATATTTAAGGCGCGCGTGTGATTTTTCTAATTGAATGGGCGGCCGGGGTAGCCGACCGACCTGGACCATGTTACGGCCTTGGTTAGGGAATGAAAGTTTGTTTTGATCGGTGTGAGCGGCTTAGCGGTAGGGCTGGCGTGCCGATAGGTCGCGGCCTTGGTATGGGACGGCCACGGCGCGGTGTGGTATCCCGGCCCGGGACGCAGCGCGACACCACTTTATATGAGAGGTCGCGCCTGCTGATACCAGGCTGGGGCTTAGCCCTATTGGTTATGACGTCGGCCTACTGTGGCGGAGGTACGGGGATCGAGGGCCAGGGCGGCGCAGCGGAGCGGCGCTGGAGCAAACAAAGGGGTCGAGGGTTCGATGGGACTATCCCCCTTTTTGTTTTGTTGGGAGGGTCTGACCGCGGACCCGCGCCGCAGGGCTATGAGAGCATTGGCAGGGCCCGCAGCTCGCTTTCCCGTCCAAGATGATCCCCCTTCGTTATATTTGGGGGCCATCCCAATTCTTTCTGCTATTAGTTTAGGGCCATTAAGGGGTTGATGACCGCGTCGGGGGCCAGCAGCCCAAAAATTGTTGGGTACGCCCACGCGCCGTCGAAGCGCAGACCCACCCTTAAGTCGGATAATGGGGGCCGAGGGACGAAAATTAGAAAGCTTGAGTTTGGAGGACTGGCCAACTTTGCTGACGCAGCCACTGGGGAGATCTGGGACGATATAAAGGGGATTTACTTGACCCCCACGCAAGGTTCACATGCATAAAGCCCGGAGGAGGGGCAAGGTTCGTGCAGACGGAGCCAAGTGAGTGGGGGCACTATTGTGGCGGATCCTCCTTGGAAAGAATCCGAGTGAGGGAAGGGAGATCCAGGAACGAACCTGGATGGGATGCAGCTTAGGGGCGTGCGAAGGGCAAAATGCCCGGCCGTTGTGCGTGGTAGATACGCAAGGTTTTGAAAGGAACGCGGACGCAGGTCGCGCCGGGTACGTGCAAGCGGAAGGAGGGGGGGGGTGGGGTGATCAGATTGTCTTACGGCTGGGCTCGCCCGGCGGCTGCCTGCTGCGATAGCGAAGGGGCGCCGACCGACTTCAAGTCCTTCGGGACATCCGCTAAAATCGAAACGGTATAGAGGAGATTGTCGAGGCCTCGCGCCGGGGCAAAGAGTATAAGTTCGGGAGGCGCGCGCGCACATTGTTTTGCCACACCGGGCTTTGACAGAGTACTTCGCTGTAAGACCGGCCATTGTTGGAGCCGCGCGGACCGTGAGTAGAGGCTGCGCTGCTCGAGGGAAACAGGGAAGGGCTGTTGACGTCAACGCGCGGCAATGGGGAGAGGTGGACCTAGGCGCGAAACGACGTTAGGTGCGGGCGCAGCGGGGTAGGAGTCGGAGATGGCGGGGAGCCGAGCGGTGTGCGGTCACGAACACCGAGCGCTGCCGCTCGGAATGGAAATGGGCGGGTAGAGAATGCGTCCCGGGGGTTCTGGGCCAGGGCGAGTCGATTGGTGGTGTCTGTCTCAGTCATGAAGGTCTGGTTCGGGAGCGATGAGAGATAGGAATTGCGAAAGAGGACGAAGGGTGGTAGGAGTTACGAAGAGAGGACGGAGGTGAAAGTCGGGGGGGGGGGCGGGTACCTACCTGATCAGAGCACATTCTGTCGTCGCGGGCAGTAGTACTGTCGCCATTACGATATCGGCCGACTGTGCATGAATCGGACTGGTGACGGGGCGATGGATTCCACCCCGTACTAGCGGAGGGGTCATTTCGTAGGTAGGATTGGCGGTTAGCAGATGACAGGTGTGTGTGGGCGCCCCTCTTTCCTTCAGGGGGAACCTGGTCCACCGTGGTACTTCGGCAGAGGGCCGATGTGGTGCGCTTAGCTATGCCTCAGTGAAAGGTCCACTCTCGTTTTGCACATTGGTGGGTTGCCCAACTGACATCCGCACGAGGCCGTCGGGCCAGGAGCGGAAGTTGAGTACAAAGGGTGTTAGTAGAGGAGGAGGGAGAGTATCTGGCGCCGACTGGTGTGTCGTTCACCATACCAATCCGGGCTGGCGATCTATCTGTCGGAAGGATGGGAGTGGGAAGCGAACTGGTGGGGTTGAAAACTTTGATCGGCTGGTGAGCTGCTCATACCAACGAAGTGAGGCCGCAGCGAGTTTAGTTGTGGATGTGCTGCTTGGCAAGCCGCATTTGCTGAAGGGAGACTCTGAGTGCGTGGCTGTCTGTTTGTGAGAGGTCAGGGCTCTGGTACCTCCAGCACAGTCCGCTATGCCTGTGTAGTGTATTGCTGTTGGGATATTATTGTCGTTCTCATGGCTAAGTTTGGCATTATAGTGTTGCTGATGGTTGGCTGCTGTCGTACTCCCGCTAGCTAGTGCTGTGTGGGGTCTTGCACCAAGAGCTGGCCTGGCCTAAATCCATGCCTGTGTAGCAACGCAGTGGCTAGCCATTGCTGCGCACTGCAACACTGCGGCATATGTCATTGCGGTGGTTGTCGTGTACCCTGTTGCTTGGAGTGTGCCTTGCCACAAGACTGGCAGGGCTGTTGTAGACTGCTGTGCTGTCTTGACAACAACTGCTTGAGGACCGGTTGGATGTGTTCAGGGGAGCAAAGGTGTAGTGAGAGGGGACTGCTTTGGCTACAAGCAGGGCTGTTGTTGCAGCGTGGTGGGACGGTCACGGAGAGGGCCATTGTTGCGATTTGGGGAGTCGTCGGGGGGATTGGGTTTAATTGGTTGACTTTGTGTAACCAAGCTGCTGCTGGTTTGGCCACCATTGAGGGGCCCTCAGGCGTCGAAGAGTTGAAGGCCCTCTCGCGCGAGTCTGAGTGTGTCCTTCCTGAGTCTGAGAGTCTTACTCCTTCTCATCCTGCCCTTCTTACTCTAAGTCTGGTCCTTTGGCTCTGAGAGGAAGGCGGCAGGCGGGCGTGTGGCCCGCAACCCGCGCCAAGGCCTTGTGGGAGGTTCGCCCCACCGATTGCGGGAGCTCTGCCGGGACTCAGGCGGAGTCCTGGAGGCAGGGGACTGAGTGGTAATTCCCTGACTCCTTCTATAAACCCGACTATAACCCCTATCTGTACATCTCTCTACGTTTGACTGAGTGTATTGTCTGGGTCCTGTACTTTTATTTTGGTTTGACTGTCAGGACTTAAGTCAGACTGAAGTAAATGAGCGTGTGTGCAATCTCAGTCTCAGTTTTTGCTGATTGCCTGAAAGCAGATTGTGAACGAAGTGGGTTGCATCTGGGGGAAGGTTGGGAGGAAGGCAGTTTGTGTGCAGTCTGACTGGGTCATTAAGGCAGGGAGGTCCCCTTAAGTTTGGGGAAGCCCAACGCTTTGTTTATTTTTGGTTTGCATGGAGTCTCAGGCCGCTCTATAAGTTTAGGTAGCCTGAACCTCTGGAGGCTGGGATGTCCCCATAAGTTTGGGGAGACCTGGTGCTGTGAATTGCACGGAGGGTCAGGACGCTCTATAAGTTTAGGTGTCCTGGCTGCTCTGACCTGTGGGAGTTTGACTGTGAGTGACTTTTAGGGACCCAAGGCGCTCTATAAGTTAAGGTACCTTGGGTTGCCTTATTTTACTTGGGGTTCTCTCAGTTTCTTTGGTTCTGAACAAGGAGGGTTGAACCGCTCTATAAGTTTAGGTGGTTCAACCCTTTTCTTGTTTTGTTCTGAGGGAATAATTTTGGCAGGGGACAGGCCGCTCTGTAAGTTTAGGTAGCCTGTCGCACTGCCTCGCACAGATTGGGTCAGAGAGAAACGAACTTGGCTGACGATCAGACCGCTCTATAAGTTTAGGTAGTCTGACCCAATGCCTCGCACATGTTGGAACCCAATGGATATAACTTGGCTATATTGTATTACTATGCATTTACGAACAGGCTGGTCAGACCGCTCTATAAGTTTAGGTAGCCTGACTATAGCTTACCATAACTGAAGAGAGTATAACTAAGAGGTATAACTAAAGGTAAATATGGGCAGGCTGAACAATGTTCAGCTGAGCGACTCAGCCTTATGTCCCTTTGAAGACTAAGTTCAGAGAGGTATATATAATTTGGCTATTTAAACAGTTCAGGGCGACTAGAGTGGTCTAGTCATATGCCCAAAGAAGAGAGAGGTAGTTGTGACCTCTGTTTGTGTATATTTGGCCGAGTCGGAACGCTCTATAAGTTTAGGTATTCTGACCTTAGGCCTGGCTAAGTTGGGTGCGCTCTGTAAGTTCAGGTGCCCTGACCTATGCCTTATGTAAGTTGGGTATGAGGGGATAACTCACTGAGAGATTATGAACTATTGTTTGTTTAAATTAGCTTGGGAGTGGTGAGAGTACTTACCTTTGTGGTTTGGCCTGCATGTGGCTGAGTGAGATTACTACTTGGTCTGGGATTTAGGTTAATAGGTAGTTGCCTTAGAGGCTTGCCACGTGCTAGAGCGATAGGAGTTAGGTCAACTCCTGCATTTTCTGAGCTGACTTTATTTTACTTAGATCAATTCTTGCATTTTCTGGGATCTTTTGTTATACTAGGCTTTGTATAAATCTTGGCAAGCTACCTTCTCTACGGGAAGCACTGCCGAAATGTCTACGAATCCAAGGAATTAGTCAACGCTTGACTCGTCAAAGTTCAACTTATCTATTCTTTATATCTGACTTAGTAGAAATTTGGAAAGTCTCTTTTTCTAAAGGGAGTGCTGCCCAAATTTTTGCTAATTCGGGGAGTTAGACAAAATTGGACTTTGAGAAGTCAGAGTTATTTTCAGATTCTGAACTTAGCCTTGTATAAATTTTGGAATAGCACTTTTCTAAAGGGAGTGCTGCCGAAATTTCTGCAAAACTAAGGAGTTTAGTCAAATTTTGTCTAAGTTGAACTCAAGTTGCCTAATGAGTTCATATCTGACCTAGTATAAATCTGGGAAGTCCCCCTTTCTAAAGGGAGTGCTGTCCAAATTTCTACTAATTCAGGGAGTTAGACAGAATTTGGCTTTCCAGAGTTGGAGATTATTTCTGTTTTCATATTTGGGCTGATATAAACCTTGGAAAGGCACTTTTCCTAATGAAAGCGCTGCCGAAATTTTCTTGATTTAGAGGAGTTAGATTATATTTTGACAGGTGGCGATTCTGGCAGTCCACCCTGAATAGGGGAGATTATGTCAGGGTCTACCTTTGCTTTGGGCACGGCTTATAGGTAGATTCAGGCTTAGTTAATTAAGGTGATTTGAGGGGAATCGTGATATGCGGATTATTCTCCATGGACTTATAGGTTTAGCCTGGGGATTGACCTGTCTTGTGTTACAGGCCACCTTGATCGAGTTGATTCAGGATTTGGACTAGTTCCGGCTCGATCCTATGAGGATCGTCTTATGTTATCACTGCTAACAGGTCGGTTGCCGATTCGTCGGTCTTCGACTCAATTCCAACTCACCCTCCATACTCAACCTAAAAGGCTTTAGCCCTGGTGGTTTTACTGTTTGTTAAGGGTTTCACCCGGACTTTTATTGATTGGCCATTTGACAAAGGTACCGAGTATTTAATTGAGGTTGGTTGGATCGACGATTGGGGCTTGCATGGCTAAAGCAAAAGGGTATGAACATAGAGAATGGTTGGGGTTGACTCCGTGTAGTGCGTGTTTTGTTGCTTGATTCTTGGTGTGGTTGCAGGTATGTCCTGTGGCTCGGACTTTGGATTTGGACTGCCTGCGATTCCATAATACATATGCATGGTTGTGAGGAGTCCCACTGTGCCTGTGAGAAGTGATCGTCATGACTCTATCCCCTTTTGCATGTATGCGTGGGTATATGTACGATGGGTATTCGAGAGGCCCAAAGGGCCGAGTTAATAACCGCGTGGAAGTTGGGGCTGAGGGACAGGGAAGACCCTCCCTTCTGCCTAATTGCGTCTTGGGGCTTTCTTAGTAACACGTTGGTCATGGGCCGGGATTCAAGGTCCTTGTCCAGGACATCCCAAGCCCTAGGCCCTGAAGGGGAGGGGTCTCCCCTCGCATAGAGCCGGCGGGACACTCCGCCTGAAGGGCAGAAATGTCGCGAGGGCAGAACGGCGTGTCCTTCAGCCGTTCAATATCGTGAGGGGTAACCCCTCGCGATG